TAGCGAATCCATCGGAGGTTGTAGGAGAACGGGTTAAGAAGGGTAATACGCGAACGAGGGAATGTAATTTTTTTTAGACCGGTCTCAGCCACGTGTCACCGGTGTTATTCTTCGAAAGCTGCAAGGTAAACTCTTTGTTTGTGGCCGCACGCACAACACGGCATTATAAAACGCGCGTGTAAGGCTATCCCGGTGGTTCTATTCAAGAAGGTATTATGAAACTCCCTCGGAAAACGTACTCTCCGCTTTGTTTCACCTTTTATTTCGTTCTGTTTTAACCGGATGGCAGGAATGAAATCCCGCGTATACGGATACACACACGTACCGTGCATGTCGCGTGGCCTACTGCCGCATTTAAATGCACCCACACGCCGAACTCGCACGCACGATTACAATGTCGAATCGTCTCGCGACACTTTCGCTTTCTTTTTTCCTTTTTTTATTTCTTTCTAGCGTACAAACAACGCGTTAAGAGGAAAAGTTGAGAAAAAAAGAGAACCGAGTCTCGCGTTAATTCTGCGATGGTCGTGGCTCGTGTTCTAAACAACACACACGGCTCGTCCTCGTCGACGCTTAAAGCCCCCTTTTGTGCTTTGATATTCAACCGAGCCGGTGTAAACGAAACCTCCAAGGCGCCATTCATGCCTGGTTTTTTTCAATTCCGAGTGTACCAGTTTAAAATGCCAGCTACGTAACCGGCATGGTGGACGACGGGGCTTCGCGATACGAAAATGTTTCGTTCAAGACTCGAATAAACAACGCTGAACGCTCGTACACGCCGAGCCACGCCGCGCAGTACACTTTCCTCGTCGCAGAGCCGCGCGCAATTAGGTCGGAGAATGAGTAATGCTGGCTGCTCTAATCTCGGCAATGGGCGAACGTTCAGAAAGTAACGGACCACGAGGTTTATGCATTCCTTGACCACGTAAGATCGTGGAAAATCTCTCGATGAATAATCCCTCTTCTATGCTTCGTAGAATAATTAACGATTACTGAATTACTACGTGTTCTACTCCTTTTAAGAATGAAAAAGGACCTTACACACACGATACTCGGAACTCTCCCTTTTCGAGGTATCAACACTTTTTTGTTTATATCGTAATTTGAGTGTTTCGCGATATGAATGACTGACTCGCGTAGAATTACGAGCACTGTCATCGTTTTTTTTTTCTTTCGGTCGGTAATATAGTGGAGTAAGTCATTCTGACATTGAACAAATCAATTTGCTTAGACTTTACCGGATTTATTTAGAAATTTTTGTACCTGTGCAGTCCATTCTGAGAAAGAGTAGAACGAGTTAAAAAGTTTGACCAGCTATTTTCCTATCGGCCCGTATAAACGCGAACGAATTAATGGGTCATAAATGTGACCCAGGGAATAGAAACATGCAACGAATGGTCGGCGAATGAAAAAAGATTAAAATTCATGATTTCTCCCCTCCGCCCGTGATTGTCGAGCGGTTTATTTCGAAGTACCGGTAGGAGACAGGAACAGTCGATTAGTCTTCATTGAAAACAAAAGAGAAAGGAAACGATCAAATGTGTGCGCGAACTGTACGCGGAGCAACGTCACAGACCGTGATTGTGGTTATTTATATAACAGAAGTCTGTAAATCTCGCGTTTTAAACGACCGCGGCTCGCGAGCTAGGCAGCTTTATCGAGAAGCATGATTTTATTTATAGAAAACCGATAATGACCATACGAATGCAACGTATCTCTTTTACAAGTCATAGATCTGTTTGTTTCCTCCCTCTATGCAAAGTGGCCACGTCGCGGTAAAAAATTTCGACGATTCGAATTTGGTTCACCGGTACGATTAATACGTTCATTGCCAGCTCACTAATTTTTATTAAAAAAACACGGAAGACGAATTTTAAGCAACGTTTGTACTATGAATATAACGTGAAATTGAAAGTGTAAGTTCGCAAACGAACGATCATAAGAATTTCAGTAGGTCTTACCACTCGCGACCGTTTCTACTGCAGCAGTGAATCTGTTACTCGCAGTAAATTACTACGCTGGGAATAATTTCTGTGAAATAAACCATCTATTTAACTGCAAAATATTGTTGTCCCGATGAGTTTATTAGTCATTCCAGACTGACGAGTTAACGGGATTGACAGGTCTCTAGTTATTAAACGAAGAAAAGAATTCTCGAGGATGGAAAACAATAGTCGTCGCGTTTACGTTTTCCGACAATGAATCACGATTCTCAGAGATCCAGAGTATCCCGTTCGCGAAGATTTTACACTCGGTGATTAGCTCTTAAACGACGGTAATGGACCAACGAATCGAATCTATTCGTATTGTGAAATAATGTTGAAAGGAATGGGCAGAATATTTAGATTGAGAATGCGAAGTAGGTGCGAAGAGCCTTGCAACGAGACGGAAAACAAAAGTTCGATTCTGCGATTTTTCTAGCCGGTTCAAATTCGCGACGCACAATGTCTTTGCTTGTCACAGAGGACACACGGGCTTTAATAACAACGCATTGTTAACAACAGCCGACAATAGTTTCTTTTGATAATACGAGTCGTTCGTTGCGAGAGTGTCGTGTGGACTTGTGTACGCGGTGTGTCCCATTATCGTGCCAGTTCAATGAAATCTTTAAACGAACGGACTCTTTATTTCGCTTGTATCAGTTGTTTGCTCGACGCTGTTTACGACCGCAATTGCCTTTGTGTTTCCCATGCGTGTTTGTACGTGTGCCAGTATACGTTCTTTTTTTTCGCTGTATTTCCTTTAACCCGTTCTGTTCCCTTTCCGCGACCACCTTGCCATCCGAAATCGTCGAAACGGAAATAACACGCGTGGCGTGTCATTTATTTCGTAAACACTGGTAGACGAATGGAGATATACGTGGCGTTGCTCGTGACGCGTATACTCATTAAGCTTATGTAGCAACGCCAGCAATATTTTTCCTCTTAGAAACTGTTTTTTCGTCGCTGTTTGTCTATTATAAAGTAATCAACGGTCGGGTAATGAGCGCCGCGACTCTTTCTAGATACGAACGTTCATCCTTTCTCGGAGACGCTATTAATACATGCGTTATAAACCACAAATACGATAGAAGCGCGCGTTTCGAGCACCATACAAAGTTGAAGAAAAAAAGAACAGAGAGAGGAGAGAACTCCGATTGGCTTTCTAAAGAGCGAACAAATATCTTTGTTGCCTGAATCGAAGCGAACAGCTATCTAACGAGTCTCGTTAATTATGAATATTAGGCGTTGTTTCCTTGATACGAGGAGAAGTAAACAAGTATTGGGTCCGTAGAGAATACATAATAAACCATACGTATACGACAAAACCTCACGGTTTTCCCCGTTATTCGTTCCACCTTTCAAGCAGGCGTTCAGCTCCAGCTATAAATAACCAACTGTTTACTCGCTTTTGCCCTCAAACACTTTTTAATGTTTCTTATTCCATGCGAACGTCTAAAAGAACCGACAGACTGACGGCGAACCCGGCCATATCCATATACGCGTGTAAAAGCGTGACCCGTTTCAAATGTGTTGCCACGTGAGTCAACAGAGAATCCTGTGGAAAAATTCGTGAAACAAGCAAAAGAAAGAAAGTACCACACAAATCGGCCAAATATTGCGCGTTTATCGTCGCATTTAATAAAAATACGACGATAAATGTTGGAAAATTGATAACTCGACGTGCCTTCGAAGGAAGCGCTAAACTTCGTTCTGCAAAAACGTTTAACACGAGGTTCTTCATTGGGACGACTTTAATGGAAATAATGTTTTTCATAGAAGCTCGTATTGTTCGGGATAATTGGATGACCAACTAAATCGCAATAATATTCTTTCTTCGTGCTCCAATACGATCGACTCGAAAGCAAACGCGAATAAGACGTTCATTATTCCAACAATGTCCATGACGAGCGCAACTCTGCTTAAAGGCATGACTTCAGCCTGAATTTGGTCGATTAATTGTCTGGCACGAGCCGTTAAACTGCTCAGATTCGATCAACGAGACTGAATCGGCGAACGAACCAATTATTTTCATCGAACGTCCTCCAGTAAAAACGCTCGTCGATCATCAATTAAACCTCCAAGACAAAAAATCGACTATGAATATCTTTTACACGCTGTGTAGTGATTTAATGCTACGATGTGCAGTAATTCTATCGTTAACGAGTTTTGTTTCAGATATTATGCGAAATTTCTACTTATTTTCTATCGTCGCGGATCGTGGATCTCCATATACATAATTCTCGATAAATGCAACGAAAGTCTTGGACTATCGATATATATTATCGGCATTACAGGATTTTCGATAGCGGTTGACGATATATATCGAGCGTGAGAATCCAGAAATACGGACAATGTATATCGATCGTCCGAGGTTTTACGCGGAAGGCGTTACGCGGAATACGTAATACGATGTTCAACCTTGAACCTCGACTCGTTCTACCGAATTGTCTAAAGAGGCGAATTCACAATTACTTCGAGCCAGTATGCAAATAATCAATCGAGGAAATATGGAATAACAGGACTTGGACTAGTAGCGCACGAAGGAAGAGAATAAAAAATGATGACGGTATTCGATTGGAAACAGTGAACGAATAAGGCTGTCAACGTCCGTGCAAGATCGATCGATATTATCGTTCGATGTCGTGTAACGTGTGCGTGCACGTGGTTGCGCACGCGTCCCACGTGTGGAGCGGCGCTCCACATTTAATCACGACCAAGAAACCGAAATTCGAAGGAAGCACGACGAGGAGGCAGAAGGAGGCGAGGAGACGAAAAGCGTACCTCGCTGTGTTCCACGCGTACGACACGCAGCAATCTATGGCTGATGTTCAGACCCATTAAAAAACCATTACGATAGGCCATTTCCGCATAGCATTTCTTTGAGCGAACTTTACGGTAAACAGTTATTTTCCTAAAGCGGTCGCGCGCACACGGTCGATCCTGTTCAACAATTAGACATCCGTGCACAGGCATCGCGACGCATAAATCTCAATAAAACGCACGATAACGATTGCTTACTCACGTGGTAGCCGGACCGCTGCAAGAAACTAATGATTCACGCGAGACCGCAGCGGAGCACCTCCTCTTCACTGTACACGGATGTTAACAGCAATATCCATCGTCTGGTCGGTGTATCATTAGGGCGTACACCTGTTGACGATCCACGCTGGAATGTTCCTCTCTCGAGTCAGCGTGGTAGGTCGATTTTCACGCGCCGGGCACACTAATCGATTTTCCGGTAACACGATACACACCGCCACGGACTCTGCATCGAAACTAAGTAACTAACCAACTAACCGATTAACTAACTCTCCGTATAACGAGGGAAACACGCACGGTCGAAGCATTCCGACGTACTTGCCAGGTGTCACGACGAAACACCACCAGCCAAGTCCACTGAACTATAACAGGCGAAGATCACGCGGTTGTAACGCGGCGGTTAAACGGCAGGTATCGCGGATACCGATCGTTCGCATTTTCTATATTCGAACCGCGACACGCTACTGAGGGGCCGGGACGAAAACGCTCGCTATATAACCTTCCTCTTTGCACCGACTCGGCGAAGGGTCATTGGTATTCGGCAACATCGATAATAAAACCTCGTTCCTCATTGGTGGCACGACCGTCACATTCGCGGCACAGTCGTCGCACTCCAGGTAAACGGGGAAAACACGTGCACTGAACCGGTGAACACGAGTCCGCTCCAAAATCTGCGCGATTAACCTTGAATCTCGCGTGCGACGCGTACGCGCACCATTGATCCCGCGATAGATCGCGACACGGTTCGGCCTATTATCGATATTGAACGGCGAACACCGCGCACGGACGATCGATGCCCGTGAATTGGCGGTGTGGAACACCGGCACCGTCGACGCCGGCCACGAGATTCGATAAATTCAACGCCAGAGAGAGAACAGACGGATCGACGGACGGAAACGAAGCACACACGAATGCCAGCAGAGAACGTACGAACGAACAGGCGAGAGCCTGGCTGCCTCGCGTTCGGTGAACAGCCCGCGGCCCCCACGTTGTTTGTCTCGCGAGTGGCCTGTTTACATGTTGACTCTCTGTTTACGCGATTCGTATCCCCTTCCCCTCTTCCGTGCCCGCGCCACCGCAACGCCTGCGATCCACCACCCACCACCCGCCGCCGCCGCCGTCTTCCCGCCACTCTACACTCTCCGTGCTGCTCGCTACCCGTGTCCCACCACTCGCTCTTTCTGTCCTTCTCGAGACCACGTTTCGTGCCGAGTTGTGTCCCGCTCGGCTTTGCCGAATAACACCGATCAGCCACGATCGTAACCGCAACCACTAGCGCTACCTTCAAACGTGAACCGCTTTTTCGATTCCATTTTAATAATTTATGCTATCCGTTCAGCTCGTTGCCAACGAGTTTGTGACAATTTTACCTTTTAACCGATCCCTGCAGCCATTTCGTTGCCGCGAACTGTATCGCGATCTACCGTGCGCGCGTTCGATATCGCAGTAGAAGCGGACGTTGCGAACAAGACGCGTTATTGTTCCGAATGCGGTGGTTTCTTTTTTAATTTGTAACGCGGCTCGAAAGTTACGACGATGGTAAATACGAAAAACGAGGAAATTTTTCATCGTGTTGGCGCTACTTGAAATTTACTTTCGACCCTTGTTCGACGCCTGTCGTCGGTGACTTCCGCTAGGTTGAACGCGTTAACGGTCTGCCGTATCGGGTACCTTGAGTACTACGCGCGTGCTTACTCACACGTACATTCGTGCCGCTGATGTGCTGGATCGCAGGTAGTCGAGTAAACGCGAATTTCGGTTGTTATTATTTCTTATCTCTGTCGCGTACGGTAGTCTATTATTGCGTGTAATGTATTTCGGTAGTCGAAAACGTCCGATTAACCCCGATCTATGATTTTGAGCGAAATAGCTTCGTACATTAAAAAATATCTAGGTTAAACAGAAGTATCGAAAGTCAACCTACTAACCTACTCAATTTTTCATTCGATGTTGCAGTGCTCCATCTTCTGCTTGGATGCAACCGTACAAGTCGTTAATTATTGACGCTCTTATTGCAATTCATGACTCCGAAAATATTTCGCGGATACAAGCAAGCAGAAGCGGTTACATCTGTTGGAAACGGTGTCGAGGATCTATTTCGTCGGCGAAGAAACGTTCGGTAGACGAATGGCTCGTCCGATCGTTGTTATCGGGTAGTCGCGTGCGCACGTGAACGCGATTCGTGAATGTAAAAATTACTGGCAGACGGTTCGGTTCAACACCGAAGAAACAATATGCAATTCGATAAATTCAACGCCAGAGAGAGAACAGACGGATCGACGGACGGAAACGAAGCACACACGAATGCCAGCAGAGAACGTACGAACGAACAGGCGAGAGCCTGGCTGCCTCGCGTTCGGTGAACAGCCCGCGGCCCCCACGTTGTTTGTCTCGCGAGTGGCCTGTTTACATGTTGACTCTCTGTTTACGCGATTCGTATCCCCTTCCCCTCTTCCGTGCCCGCGCCACCGCAACGCCTGCGATCCACCACCCACCACCCACGCGTCCCACGTGTGGAGCGGCGCTCCACATTTAATCACGACCAAGAAACCGAAATTCGAAGGAAGCACGACGAGGAGGCAGAAGGAGGCGAGGAGACGAAAAGCGTACCTCGCTGTGTTCCACGCGTACGACACGCAGCAATCTATGGCTGATGTTCAGACCCATTAAAAAACCATTACGATAGGCCATTTCCGCATAGCATTTCTTTGAGCGAACTTTACGGTAAACAGTTATTTTCCTAAAGCGGTCGCGCGCACACGGTCGATCCTGTTCAACAATTAGACATCCGTGCACAGGCATCGCGACGCATAAATCTCAATAAAACGCACGATAACGATTGCTTACTCACGTGGTAGCCGGACCGCTGCAAGAAACTAATGATTCACGCGAGACCGCAGCGGAGCACCTCCTCTTCACTGTACACGGATGTTAACAGCAATATCCATCGTCTGGTCGGTGTATCATTAGGGCGTACACCTGTTGACGATCCACGCTGGAATGTTCCTCTCTCGAGTCAGCGTGGTAGGTCGATTTTCACGCGCCGGGCACACTAATCGATTTTCCGGTAACACGATACACACCGCCACGGACTCTGCATCGAAACTAAGTAACTAACCAACTAACCGATTAACTAACTCTCCGTATAACGAGGGAAACACGCACGGTCGAAGCATTCCGACGTACTTGCCAGGTGTCACGACGAAACACCACCAGCCAAGTCCACTGAACTATAACAGGCGAAGATCACGCGGTTGTAACGCGGCGGTTAAACGGCAGGTATCGCGGATACCGATCGTTCGCATTTTCTATATTCGAACCGCGACACGCTACTGAGGGGCCGGGACGAAAACGCTCGCTATATAACCTTCCTCTTTGCACCGACTCGGCGAAGGGTCATTGGTATTCGGCAACATCGATAATAAAACCTCGTTCCTCATTGGTGGCACGACCGTCACATTCGCGGCACAGTCGTCGCACTCCAGGTAAACGGGGAAAACACGTGCACTGAACCGGTGAACACGAGTCCGCTCCAAAATCTGCGCGATTAACCTTGAATCTCGCGTGCGACGCGTACGCGCACCATTGATCCCGCGATAGATCGCGACACGGTTCGGCCTATTATCGATATTGAACGGCGAACACCGCGCACGGACGATCGATGCCCGTGAATTGGCGGTGTGGAACACCGGCACCGTCGACGCCGGCCACGAGATTCGATAAATTCAACGCCAGAGAGAGAACAGACGGATCGACGGACGGAAACGAAGCACACACGAATGCCAGCAGAGAACGTACGAACGAACAGGCGAGAGCCTGGCTGCCTCGCGTTCGGTGAACAGCCCGCGGCCCCCACGTTGTTTGTCTCGCGAGTGGCCTGTTTACATGTTGACTCTCTGTTTACGCGATTCGTATCCCCTTCCCCTCTTCCGTGCCCGCGCCACCGCAACGCCTGCGATCCACCACCCACCACCCGCCGCCGCCGCCGTCTTCCCGCCACTCTACACTCTCCGTGCTGCTCGCTACCCGTGTCCCACCACTCGCTCTTTCTGTCCTTCTCGAGACCACGTTTCGTGCCGAGTTGTGTCCCGCTCGGCTTTGCCGAATAACACCGATCAGCCACGATCGTAACCGCAACCACTAGCGCTACCTTCAAACGTGAACCGCTTTTTCGATTCCATTTTAATAATTTATGCTATCCGTTCAGCTCGTTGCCAACGAGTTTGTGACAATTTTACCTTTTAACCGATCCCTGCAGCCATTTCGTTGCCGCGAACTGTATCGCGATCTACCGTGCGCGCGTTCGATATCGCAGTAGAAGCGGACGTTGCGAACAAGACGCGTTATTGTTCCGAATGCGGTGGTTTCTTTTTTAATTTGTAACGCGGCTCGAAAGTTACGACGATGGTAAATACGAAAAACGAGGAAATTTTTCATCGTGTTGGCGCTACTTGAAATTTACTTTCGACCCTTGTTCGACGCCTGTCGTCGGTGACTTCCGCTAGGTTGAACGCGTTAACGGTCTGCCGTATCGGGTACCTTGAGTACTACGCGCGTGCTTACTCACACGTACATTCGTGCCGCTGATGTGCTGGATCGCAGGTAGTCGAGTAAACGCGAATTTCGGTTGTTATTATTTCTTATCTCTGTCGCGTACGGTAGTCTATTATTGCGTGTAATGTATTTCGGTAGTCGAAAACGTCCGATTAACCCCGATCTATGATTTTGAGCGAAATAGCTTCGTACATTAAAAAATATCTAGGTTAAACAGAAGTATCGAAAGTCAACCTACTAACCTACTCAATTTTTCATTCGATGTTGCAGTGCTCCATCTTCTGCTTGGATGCAACCGTACAAGTCGTTAATTATTGACGCTCTTATTGCAATTCATGACTCCGAAAATATTTCGCGGATACAAGCAAGCAGAAGCGGTTACATCTGTTGGAAACGGTGTCGAGGATCTATTTCGTCGGCGAAGAAACGTTCGGTAGACGAATGGCTCGTCCGATCGTTGTTATCGGGTAGTCGCGTGCGCACGTGAACGCGATTCGTGAATGTAAAAATTACTGGCAGACGGTTCGGTTCAACACCGAAGAAACAATATGCATTATCAAGTTAATGACTCGCTTTCACCGATTATTTATCGTTGTACGCCTAACACGGAAAGAAACACGCAACGTTAATAGAATCTGAACGGACACAGACGGTGTATCTTGGCGACGGGCGGTTCGTTTTTACGGATATCGTAGGTTAATTGAAACTGCACGGCACGTGCTTATTAAATTGGCGCACCGCGATTTCATCGAGCCACGCGTTTAATTAGATTTTCTTTCCGCTCGTTCTCCGCTTAATCTCCCCAAAAATCGTTTCAGTGTTTCCCTCGATTCCTCGAGCGCGGTCGAATCGATAAATCCTTGCAAACTTTTTTTGCCACGAGATCACCAGCTATTGACGTTATTTGCATGACACGTGTGCGCGATCAGTCAGCGAAACTACTTAAAACACAGCCCGCGGTTATTAATACACCGCGAGCCATTATGCCTAAGCGAGGCGAGACAACTGAAAAGAATTCGAACAACAGCGCGCGTTGGAAATCGAGCCTTAACCGCCGCCCACGAGCAACCGTGTTTTGCTCTCTCGTTCGTCGCGGATAACGTTTTCTTTACAACGCAAGCCTCGAAGAAACCTCCTCTCTCGCCTTATTCTTTCCTCGTGTGTCCGTACGAGACGATACCCGCGACAAAACACGAGAACGATATCGTTCTCGTCAATGAGTATTGACAGTTTCACCGTGAGTGGTCAATTTCTTAGACGCGTTTTACGAGAGTCGATAACGCGCGGTCGTTTCTATGTATCGAAGATCGTTACACGCCTACCAACACGAATCTCCGTCCGAATTTCACGCTTCGATAGGATTTCAACGCGGTCTATCGGGCAAAACTTACGAGCGATAAAACGAGGTATAATCCGTTAATCGTAACAATGCACGAGTCGAAAGTAGAAACAGACGGGCGATTTCAGTAGATCGAGCCAATGCGTCCCGGCGCGCGTAATGCTCCA